GACCCGGGAAAACAGCAATATTTCGTACTTATGGACGTTTTCGGACGCCATCTTAGCAGCTAAACCCTTCCACATTAGACCTTTTATATTCCCAAAGCGTGGAAATTTACGAAGATTGACAAGAGCTGCCATTGGACGTGAATCACGAGCAAAAGGAGCACAAAACCGTTTCAAAACACGGATATTTGGTGTATTTTGACGTTTTCGTACGCCACCTTGGCATTTGGGCCCCTGAAAAATGTGCAGATGGTTGGGAATGGTTACACAATATGTACCTTATATTATTTTACCCCTAAACTGTAAAAAGAATACAGCGACGCTTGTGCGTACCTCGATATTTAAAAAAAACAAGCTTTTTGGCGGCCATTTTGGACGCCATCTTGAATTTAGAGGCTTAAATGCAAAAATCGAGCTTGGCAACAGGGCGCATCGTTTTCAGCGGGGTCGAATTAGTCTTGAACCGCCTGTTGCCAGTTTGTAGCACAAATCGCCTCTCGACATGCAATTCTGTGGCATTACAACAAAGTGACGTAAGTGCACTTACGACAAAAACGAGTTAGTCGCACGATTGGAACCCTCTCATAGATGCAGACCTTGTCCAATATGCACAATTACATTTTTCTCGTTTGGTCTAGGAGATAATGACAAGTAAAATCTGACGTAAGTCAATTTCATTCAGAAGTCAATTTGCCAAAATGTCGTAAGTGCACTTACGACATATTTTTTGAAATCATGTCGTAAAAAATGTGTCGTAAGTACACTTGCGTCACAGATTTTTTCACAGCTGGGCAGGGACCTCGAGTACGATTATGTCATACAGCTAATGACTTGCACTGCCTGAACTTAAGGGGTCGCAACGGAGTAAAATATAAACTTTCAAAGTGACGTAAGTGCACTTACGTCACTTTGTTGGATTAAAAATCACAAATCATGTGACGTAAGTCTAGCGAAGTGGAAAACCAATCATTATTTTAACTTTCTCTTAACATAAAAGTATTTTTTAAGTGCCACAAGAAATTCTCCTATCATCGGTTAAAGTTTTAACCTGTTGCTTGATTTTGAAAAGTATTTTTTACGTCTCCTGAAATACTGATGTTTTTGACTTACGTCACTTTGTTGTATTGCCACAGAATTATCAGCAATCTTTCCCGGTCTATAACAAGCCCACAAAATTTCAGGTCTGGCCCAGCTTTTTAGCTATTGATCGGTTCACATTTTATACCTTACGACCCTATTCTGGTATCGTAACTGGTATCGAACGGCATGAGCCAAAAGGACTTGTGTTAGGTTTAAATCTTTTGAGCTCAGGGATGACCCCTAAACATTCATTAAAATAAGGCATTTCTTGTCCTTAGTCATATATTCAATTGTTGAGCCTCTACATTGATATCTTGGAGATAATGAGAAAAATATATCTACGCAGACCATTTCTGCCATATGGAAGTAACCTTTCCAGACTAAGTATTCTCCTTGCTTCATTTTAACCTTATTAAGATTTCAACACAAAAATTCCAGCTCAAAAGTGATTTTTCGATTTAGTACGAACACTCTTGGCTCATGCTGTTCAAGTTACGATACCAAAATGAGGTCTTAAGGTATAAAATGTGGACCGATCAATTGTTAGTAAGCTGGGACAGAGTTGAAATTTTGTGGCCTTGTCCGACTAAGGAGATGAGTTCTGAACCAAGTATCGTCAAAATCAAAGGACCGCCTTTATTTGCAAGCTCTATTTTTGTGAAGTTTTCGTCAGTTTTTTTCTTAGTAATTCCAAGTTTTTCATCGTTTTCCAAATTTTGTTACTTATATGAATACAAAAGTCTACAGGGAAGCCAATGAAACCTGGCTGGACCCTTTCTGACTACACATGTCAAATGGCCACGGAATGTGACATTCAAAGTTGACAAAAGTTTCAAATCGCTGTAAGGCAAAAAATCAATTGTGGGTCACATTTTTGAAAATTCCAAATTAAGGCCTTTAATTTTGACCTGATGATAAAAGTGCATGTGCGGCCTTTAACAATGGTCCTTGGACTAAGTTTTGCAGCATAGCAGCCCCGTCTATCATCCTTATTTACTAAGCTGCGGCTGTTTTAAAAATAGTCTGTTTTGGCCCACAATTGATTTTTGGAACCAGTTGTGGGTCAGCATTGTAGAAAGCTCAAATTTGGATATGATTTGCTTAGATGCGAAAGGAATTCTCTTTTGAATTTATTTTTCGGAATCGTGAAAACTGCAGGATCTGTAGCACAACGAATCAATTGTGGGTCATATCAATTGTGGGCCATTTCGTCTTTTTGCTTGTAAATTGGCCACTTTTGCAAGATATTTTCTTATTTTCATTAATAAAAGGTCCCTGATTCTCAATAAACCAAGCAGGCACGTTTTTCACTCATAGAGGAAATATACATAAACAGGCTTATTTCACTGTGAGACAGATGTGAGTTAAACGTCCTGGATTAGAGACGAAACTTTTACAGTGCATATTCTAGGGCCGCCGTTGTGGTAGACAATCCAACACCACACCCTGTCATCGTGAAGTATTGCTACAGTTTATAATCTATTTCAGTCAGAATATTTAGACTGTAGGGATTGATTTGACTCGTTTTAACAGGGCCGGACTGGCCTCGGGTGCCTAGCCTGCAGTTAGAGAGCGGTCCCCTTCCGGGCGCTATGTAAGCCCCGCAATGCCCCCCTCCCTCCCCAACAAAAAAAAGCCTTATGGCGGGCTGGAAGTAAGAGCTAGCGTTGTCATTCGGGGCTGTACCCTAAGCTGAACCACCTTCCTATCGTAGTACTAAATGTGACAGTGCAGAAAAATGGAATTTACAGTGATACATCAGTCATTCAGAAGCACAGAAAACAAAAAAATATAAGAAAAACTACCGTAAATTTCGTCTAAAGTAATGGGTCGGACATGGTAGCGAACGCTACTTTGCCATCACCCGCGCACCATGGCATCGAATGATTTCGGCTGTACTATGGTAAATTTATGTTCCCTGACCTATTATGAACCTAAATCAGCAAGGGCGTCCCGTTTTACCTAGTAATAGCTTCACGGTGGCAATTTGAAAAACACACGATTTTTCGCTTCGTTGGATGGGCGCTTTTTTCACGACTTTTTGAAGGGCCTTCCTTTGAAGCCTGATAGGAGCTGTCACAGTCGTCGCTCGGACATACACGCTATTTGGGGAGACAAAGAAAGGTTGGAGGAAGGTCTACCGCGAAATTCAAATCGATTCAATCTCCGTCGGGTCTGCGGTGACCCGTCGAAAAAAATGACCCACAATTGATTCGTGACCCACAATTGATTTTTTACCTTAAAACCTGAACGGTCACTCCAACCATCTCAGTTCAAATTACGATACCATTATTAGGTCTTAAAGTAAAAAATGTGGACCGATCAATAGCTAAATAGCTGGGCCAGACCTGAAATTTTGTGGGCTTGTTCGATTAAGGGTAGGTGAGCTCTGTACCAAGTATCACCAATATGGAAGGACCGCCTATTTTAGCAAGCTCCATTTTTGTGAAGTTTTAATCATTTTTTAAAAAATATTTCCAAGTTTTTTCATCTTTTTCCTCATTTTATTGCTTATATGGATACAATAGTTTGTAGGTAAGCCAATGAAACCTGGCTGGTCCCTTTCTCATTACAAATGCCAAGTAGCCAAGGAATGCGACATTCAAAGTTGACAAAAGTTTCAAATCGCTATAGAATCTGAACGGTTTGGAGTTGCTAAAAAAAATTGCAGAGCAACTCAGGGGGTCATCCTGAGTGGATTGACACCTATTTTGGCCAATTCCATCAGGGCAGGTTGCGGGAGGGGGGCGGGGTAGGGCGAGGGATAGTACGGGTACAGCTAGACATCCCAAGAGAGACGGAAAGACTGCGCGCCGGATTGGCTGCCTACCTTCACGGGGCGTCTCAGCCGATTCGCGCGCACAGGTTCAGTAAAATTGAGAATTCTTGTGTTTAGAGGCCGAAACCCAACTTTTTCTATATACCAATCGAAAGCTTATGAAATTTCGAGTAAGTGAGTACACATTTGACAAGTTAAAATGCTGCCGTTTACTTATTTTCTTAATTGGAAAAACTTGTATTGCAAATTTTGAGTTTTAGCGGCATTTTTGCGAAGTTTGGCATCCACTTACCCGATCGGGCTCATATTGGTACCGTTGGATTTGTCTTAAAATTCCCTTTCGAATGGTATAAGCGGCATGCGTGTAGCTCATCACCCTGAGCTATGAAGCTCAAAAATGTGTATTTTGCTTAGCTAAAATTTGAGTGCAGAGTTGTTTATTGCGGCCTACAGCTCCTAAGGGAGGGCCACACCCACTTTTTTCGCGATTTTCGCGATTCCGAAAAATAAATTCAAAAGTGATTTCCTCACATATTTAAGCAAATAATATCCAAATTTGAGCTTTCTACAAGGCTGACCCACAACTGGTTCCAAAAATCAATTGTGAGCCTAAACAGACTATTTTTAAAACAGCCACAGCTTATAGTAAATAAGGATGATAGACAGGGCTACTATGCTGCAAAACTTAGTCCAAGGACCATAGTTGAAGGCCGCACATGCACTTTTGTCACCAGGTCAGAACTTAAGGCCTCATTTTGAAATTTTCAAAAATGTGACCCACAATTGATTTTTTACCTTATAAGGTAAAAAGGTAAAAAATCCGAATATATTCGGATCAAAACTGGCCCCGAAAAGAAAGTTTCATTTTCCAAATTTGTGGCACTCAGAATTCGCCCATACGCACGGACCCCGTCCCCCTCTCCTTCCACTTCATGGATCATTACTCAGAAACTGTCACGTCTGGCTTCCTTTTTTTGTCTCCCGGGTCAGAGTTCTTTTGAAACAGCAGCGATGCTGCAACAGCCTTACTTCAGCGTGATGCGTTGATGAGTCATCTCCTACAATTGGCAATACATTGAAGGGTCCTCTTTTTTAGGGTCTGATAGAGAACAGTTATCGCTCATGATAAAAGCGCCTGTGATTGCCAACTCGGTGACACTCAGGTCGTAGCCACTCAGTGAGACGATGAACCTGGTCCTACTCGGTTGCATTCTTGCGGCGCTGGGGGTTCCGGGGACACCTGCCCCACTGGCCACGGTCACGGCAGTTTTGGACGCATCAAATGGTAAGTGCTAACGCGAGCCACATTTTTTCTGTAAAATACCAAGATTTTTGGAAATTTCAATGAAGTTATGCCCGGGCTTTCAAACTCAACATTTCCTGACATGTTGAACGACTATAGTAATCGAAAAACCTTGCGAACCGATTTGCTTGTGAAGAATCGAACTTGTTCGTAATCCAAAGAACGCATCCCGTATTGCAAAACGCATTGCAGTGCTCTGGTTCACAACTTGCAAACAGTCTGATTGTATGAACCCTTGCAAGTTCACAACAATCAAGCCCAAATTCTTCGCCGCTATGAACCAAACAGTGTGTTATGAGAGCATTCTTTACAAGATTCAGAGACTGGGCGGCTAGAACTACTAAAATCTGGCTAGTACCACCAAAATTTAGGAGCAAAGTTTGAAGTTATTGTGGGCATATGTTTAAAGTCTGAATTCACTGCAAATTTAAGGGCGAGTCTCACATCCTCGTGGGCGTGGTACATTTTGTCTCACACACTGTAAAAAATTTTGACACGAAATTTCGTGTTGTGGCTAGTGAAACGCCCCTTCTTAGTTATACTTTAAATAAATTTCGTGTGCGCCTTGTCTAAAACAATCCAAACGCCCTGCCTTGAACAACAATCAGGGGCTGTTTCAATGCCGGTTTACAGCACGGCATTTAATTGGTCTGGAGAAACCTAGTTCAGTAGCGGGCTCCACGCTAGCCACTTGACTTCAGTTCCCGTCGGCTGAAAAAGACGCTTCGCAGATCCCTAATATTTTTCTGTTCTCTTTGCAGACGCCCTGGACTTTCGGTCTTCGGAGCCCGTTGGCGCGGAAGGTGATATCGACCCTGCAACGCTCTCAAGTGGAAGAACTGTCTTGGAAACGGGACTGACGCAGCGCGTTCGCCAGGAAGCAGTGGTTCGAGAGCAAGCCGCAGAGTCACTCGGGACGTCCTCAGCGCGCCCGCAGACTCCACGAGCACCGACGAAGCTGAAGAGGTCGACTTCCGGACCATGGGCGCCAGCATCCTCGCGCCCTGTCACGTGGGCCCCAAGAACGTCGCGCCCCTTCACGTGGGCGCCACGGAGGTCGACGCCGGGGTCCTGGGTGCCGGGAGGCTCTGGTGGCTCAGGGGGCTGGGACTCGTGGGATGGGGACTGGGGTTGGGATTCGGACTGGGATTGGGATTGGGTCACTGGAAGTTATCGCCCGTTCGACGCAACCACTGTTCTTATCATAATGGGTCTTCTAATTTTTGTCGTAGCGTTTTTCATGGTGTGCAGGTTAGCCATAGGGTCGTGATAAAGAGGCAAATTATGTATTTTCATTATCCATAGCTATTGTCGTTATCATGTAAGGTATGCACAATGTGTAGACATCAATTGGGGACAAGTACTTCCTACAGTGCTGAAGTATTTTTGAAATTGTACTTAATTTATGCACAAATTTGTACAGACCTTGCACGTATATGGCAATAGCTGTGCACAAGAAGTCCATAGGCATTCAGTGTCGCCGCAGTAAGTTGCGTCACTTCGGCAAAGCCGGGGGTTTACACCAATGGAATGAACCGTGTTCGGACCGTAATAAAGGCATTCAATTACTACCAACACGTAAATTATTTACGTGTGAGCATATCGCGATGGATTCGCAATGGATTCTCCTCGGCTCAGTGAAAAGAGCACAGCATGTTGAAATCACATTGCTGATTTGGAGTTGAAGTAATACACAACGAACTCCGTTTTTCACCGAGTCATGTTCGTTAGAATGTGAATTTTGTCACTCTCGTTTGAATTCGATGTCACATTTACTTGAGCGTTACACGGCCTTCTAATTAGGGTGTCACATTCCTTGGATTGTGGATCAATATTCAAACAAATGTGAAATCTCATTAAAATGACCGCGACAAATTTCACATTCTAACGAATATTACGTCACATTCGCAAAATAACAGGTTGTGACGGTTCATAAATGTTGCATTTTGATGGAAAGGATGTGACAATTTCTCCTGCTGCGTTCGATGGCTCTCTTTAAATACATAGAACTTAAGTCAGGAGTAGATACTCAAATACAAAGTAAGGGAAGCTGGGTCCAACCAGATTCTTAGTCAATATTGGTGGTGTTCTCAAGCAGTGCCACACTAACCAATTTGTCAAGTCTCCTCAACCTGTTTTATGTGATATTTTAATATTGTATTGTATTTTATCGTGCAGTATTTTATGTATAATTTATTATAGTCTACTAGTAGGCGCTAGGTTAATACAAGTATATTTCAAGTTGTATTTTTAAACAAATGTAAAGTTTTATGTTTTATAATACCTATGTAGCTTTTTGTTATTGTGTGAGGTGGATATGGTGTCCGCTGGCAGACAGCGCCCTCTAGACTTGTTGGCTATGTGACCCGAACCCCTGGCCGGAATGTGGCTTCGAGGTTAAGGGCTGTACACCCTCGGACTCGAGCGAGAGGGAAGAGAGCTCCAGTGAGGATACGGGCGAAGTTACCCCTGCTGAAACTGTGAAGACTCCAGCAATCGTCCAAGCAGCGCATGATTCAAGCTTCTTTTCTTTATGTTAATATTTACCACCAGAGGCCATTTCAGTGTTTCTGGAATGTTTGCTCCTTGTTTTATTAAACTGATTCGTTTTTCTTCGGAAGCTGTAATGGTTCCTTAATCTTCGTGTGAATAAATCTTCTCATATTTGACAAGCTTTGACTTTCATCAGCTTCACTTTCTCGTTGTGTAATAAATCGCGACCGACTGAAAAATTTTATTGCGGTTTTTACAAGTGGTAGAAAGGGGCGCAAGAGTCCGTCTATTTGAGTGAGTAGTGCCACTCGGTGCCACGGTCTAGTTTGGCGCTTCTGCAGGTCTTCGGTTGCAATGTGTTGCAAGACAAATTTGGGTATTTTCGATCATGATTTCTTGTTGAACCCTTCATCACGGACAGCTCTACTCATTGCATCAACACAAATTCCTAAGACAGCAGGAAGCGCCGCAGGCCAAGGTAGGTGTTAACGCCAGGCGTGGATTGTCGTTAAGTGGCGCAGAATCGCGAAGCCTGTTAAGACAAGTCACGGTCCGGTGTACATCTACCTTGTATAGACTCTACCAAGACCTCGGCTCCACTTTGCGCACTTTGAACCGCTGTATCTCCTAAACTGTTTGACATAAAAATCTGCGCGTGGTCTCATTCGATTCATCGTGTCATTTTCTACAAGATGAGATCATAAGAAGTTTTAGTCCACACATTTTTCCCATAAACCCCAAGTAAAAACTTGTTTTTTTTTTAGGTGTTTTTAGGGTGTTTGGGGGTTTACTCACAGGTATTGATCCAGGAAGCGGAAGAAGGGAATAACTTGACTTATCCCTAAATTGAGTTTTTATTTTATTATTGTGCCTTAGAATGGTTTCCATCATTACACCAAATTATTTGACTGAATTCCAAGCAGTTTAGGAGAAAATCCACATGGAAAAAGGGTATAACTCAACTTAACCCCTTTTACGGTCTAAATTTCATCGGAAAATGGAGATAAGTCAACGGAAGGCCACATGAGTCCGTTTGACAAATTGGCAAAAGGATATAACTCAACTTGTATTTTTATGAATCTAGTGTAAAAAGAATCAACTCAACTTAACCCCCCCTTAATTTTAAATTTCAATTTGGAAAAAAGAGCTAAGTCCAAAAAATACACCAGAGAAACATACACTTTATGCAGACTATTGTTCCACTTGACTTGTCTCCAAATTCCTCTTTGTTTAGGAAATATAAGGTGAGCTGACTCTGTTTTCCATTTCAACGAAAAGTGATAAGTCGAAGAAATCCTCTACGGAGTGACCTTACACTTTTGATTTTTTTTCCAAAATTTTACTAATGCTTTTTGAAATTATTAACATCTGCAACATTCATTTGTTTTGTTTTAGTTTACCCTGCTAACAGTTTTTGGTTCCTCCTGGAAAATGGCCAAAATTGAGTTAGCCCCTTCTTCCGCTTCCTGGATCTATTCGTCGCAGGTCAAATCTGAGGTCATATTCTTGTTCCTTGGCCAATTTTACGTGACGTGACCAAATTTTAGCCCTCTACTATGAAAAGTGTAAGATTTAGTCCTAAATACCCAAATTCGTGTTTTTTCTCCAAAAGTTAAACTAAATTCGGCCATACTTGAAAATGAAAATTTCATTTTACAAATTTGTGGCACTCAGAATTCACCCATATGCATGGAATGACTCTCCCCCCTCCCCCCCTCTCCTTCCACTTTATGGATCATTACTCATAGAAACTGACCCGTCTGACTTCCGTTTTGTTTTGTCTTCCGGGTCAGAGTTCTTTTGAAACGCAGCGATGCTGTAACGTGATGCGTCATCTTCTACAATTGGCAATACATTGAAGGGTCCTTTTTTTAGGGTCTGATAGCGAACAGTTATCGCTATCGCTCATGATAAAAGCGCCTGCGATTGCCAACTCGGTGACGCTCATGTCGTAGCCCACTCAGTGAAACGATGGAGCTGGTCCTACTCGGTTGCGTTCTTGCGGCGCTGGGGGTTCCGGGGACACCTGCCCCACTGGCCACGGTCACGACTGTTTTGGACGCATCAAATGGTAAGTGCCGATGCGAGCCACATTTTTTACTGTAAAATACCTAGATTTTCGTAAATTTCAATGCGCGCTTTCAAACTCAACATTTACTGACATGTTGAACGACTATGGTAATCGAAAACCCTTGCGAACCGATGAGTTTGCTTGAGCAGAATCGAGCTTGTTCGTAATCCAAAGAACGCATCCGTATTGCAAAACGTACGGCAGTGCTCTGGTTCACAACTAACGAACATTCTGTTTGTACGAGCCCTTGCAAGTTCGCAACAATCAAGCCCAATTCTTCGCCGCTATGAACCAAACAGCGTGTATTGAGATCGCTCTTTACAAGATTCTGAGACTTGGGGGCTAGAAATAATAAAATCTGGCTAGTACCACCAAAATTTAGGAGCAATGTTTAAAGTTATTGTAGGCATATTTTTTTGTTTGGGGTCGCCAAGAACCCCCATTGTTTTTGGTCCAACCGTTGACCCCCGCCTTGTCTAAAACAATCCAAACGCCCTGCCTGGAACAACAATCTTCCGTCGGCTGAAAAAGACGCTTCGCAGATCCCTAATATTTTTCTGTTCTCTTTGCAGACGCCCTGGACTTCCGGCCTTCGAAGCCCGTTGGCGCGGAAGGTGATATCGACCTAGCAACGCTCTCAAGTGGAACACCTGCCTCGGAAACGGGACTGACGCAACGCGCTCGCCAGGAAGCAGTGGTTCGAGTGACGCAGCGCGCTCGCCAGAAAGCAGTGGTTCGAGAGCAAGCCGCAGAGTCACTCGGGACGTCCTCAGCGCGCCCGCTGACTCCACGAGCACCGACAAAGCTGAGGGTGTCCACGTCGTGGCGACCGAACAGGTCGACGTCCGGACCATGGGCGCCAGCAACCTCGGGCCCGGTGACATGGGCCCCAAGAACGTCGCGCCCCTCCACGTGGGCGCCACGAAGGTCGACGACAGGGTCCTGGGTGCCGGGTGGCTCTGGCGGCTCAGGGGGCTCGGATTCAGGGTCCTGGGTGCCGGGGGGCTCTGGTGGGTCAGGGGGCTCGGACTCGGGGGATTCGGACTGGGGTTGGCATTCGGACACTGGGAGCTCAAGTTCTGGCCCGTTCGACGCAAACGCGCTTATCATTACAATGGGTATTCTTCTTTTGGCCTTCTGTTTTTTCGTGGCGATCAAGTGTGCCATAGATTTCCCGCGTGGAAGGATCTGTAGTTGAGACGACAGTGGAAAAATATAGATTTTGTGTAAAAGTAAAATTTACTTTTAAATAACTTTTTTTTATACTTAGAATGCTTTTAATGTATTCTATTATTGCAGTTTAAGTGTAAAAAACTGTAGTTAAACTGCAAAAAAACTACCAGTTATTTCGGACAACTAAAGTTTTTGACCCCAGTTTGTCCCAGTTGACTATAAATTCAAAGTACAGTTCTACTGTAGTTTATTTACACAGGTAGACTTGGTTTAAAAAAGAAAAGAGACTGCAGTTTGAATTTTCCGGTCAAAATTAAAAAAAAATTGGAGCTCTGTTTTGAGGGGACTCTTCCTCCCTTCCACCCCATGGGTAACTGAAGTTGTGTTGATTGTGTTTCTTGGGTGAATGTTGTCGGGAGTTGAACCCGGACACTTCAGTTGCGAAGCAGAGGCCTTGACCACTGCTCCACTGAGGTTCCATATGGGAGAGGGCTTGGCCACTCGACCACATGGAAAGGCCTGCTATCCCCAGGAACTAGAGTGCAACTGCAAGAAAAATACAGTTTTTAAGCACAGCAACCTTCAGTTCCAGGGGCAAACTGTACATACAACTGTACAAGTTCTAAAGTTTGTTCTTGCAAAAACTGCAGTCAGCAACTGCAGTTTTGGCACTATAGTTTAAACTGTAGTTTCACTACAGATCCTTCCACGCGGGAAAGAGGCAAATTATGTATTTTAATTATCCATAGCTATTGTCATATTTGTGATATGTAATGTATGCAAAACATGTATACATAAATTAGAGACAAGTACTCCACTACTGTGCTGAAGTATTTATGAAATTGTATACCTAATTTATGCACAAATGTGTACAGACCTTGCACGTATATGGCAATAGCTGTGCACAAGAAGTCCATAGGCATTCAGTGTCGCCGCAGTAAGTTGCGTCACTTCGGCAAAGCCGGGGGTTTACACCAACGGAATGAACCCTGTTCGCACGGTAAAAACGGTACCCGGTTTTCCCAGGAGCCCTAAGGCGCAGACATAGGCGACTTCCAGGGGGTTCCTGAGAAAACCAGGAACCGTTTTTACCGTGCGGACCGTAATAAAGGCATTCAGTTACAGAGCGATTCTCACGTTTCGGGGTAGTTTCGTTTCTTCTGACTCCTGTGCCCAAACGAGCGCAGATATCGACATGGGGTTTGTTTCTGATGTTAGGGAGGGCCATTGCCCACTACACTGATTTTTTAAGTGTAATAATGAACTAATTTAAAAAGCAATAACATTTTTATTGCATTAGTAGCGCCATGAAAAAGTTATTGCATTATAAGTGCAATAATTATTGTATTGCATTGGCGCATTTATCGCATTATTAGCGTAGTTATCATTTTATGGCACCAAAACTGTGATAATCTGGGCCCAGATCGGCCAAAACCTAAGGGACTTATTGCATTTTTAATGCGATAATTTTTTTATTGCTGCCACAGATGCGATAATTTGAAGGAATCACACTTGCCTTTTTATCGCAGCAAATTGTATGAAACTTATCACATTAGAAATACCAGTGTAAACGCACACATTTCGAAAAGTTCACGTTCGTTGGTTTGGTCTACGTAGCGTTTTGAATACCCTAAATGTAACTTCCGTGATTGTCCAAAGAGAACATACTCGAACTTTCCGCCCCCAGTGTGGCGGTGTGGTTCGAAAATGCTGCCAACTGTCGATGGGGATTCGAAGCTTGGCATATCTCGAGCTAATTTCAACCGAAGACCAACACGCCAGACTTCTTTCAAAGGTACTTATGCTGCAACGAAAAATGTCCTCCGTAATTTCAATTTCACTACACAAATTTCGAAAAGGCAGCTCTGGACTTCTCCCCAAGCCAAACTTTAAACTTTCCATGACACAAGCCATCAAAGTGGAGTCCCTGGGATATAATTGCATTGGTCGCGGAAATCTAAGATGCTGTACACGGTCTCAAAGCGGGCTAGAGCATTATAAAATGGCGTGTATCAACAATTACCTGTAACTTCCGTGGCACCCTTTACCCAATGTTGCAGCAGCACTAGGTGAAAAAATTTTCCGCTTAAATGTCGGGCTTAGAGTATCATTTGACCTTGGAACGACTTTTAAGCCACAGCAAGCCCGAGTCAGCCGTTAAAGCCGATTTTCACACTTTGTAACTTCCGTGATAACGTAATTTCCGTGATCAAAACACCCACTAAAACGTATGGGAATACCTTATGGCTCATGTTTTTAGGAAGGTAGTACAAGGTCTTTATTACAAATTTCATTGCCATAACTCTAGTATCATCCAGGACCCCAATAATCAGAAAAACTTAATTGGATATTTCTCACTTTCGGCAAATCAGAGACTCCAAAACTACCCCGAAACGTGAGAATCGCTCTACAACCAACACGTAAAAGATTTACGTGTGGGCATTGCGACGGATTCGCAATGGATTCTCCTCGGCTCAGTGAAAAGAGCACAGCATGTTGAAATCACATTGCTGATTTGGAGTTGAAGTAATACACAACGAACTCCGTTTTTCACCGAGTCATGTTCGTTAGAATGTGAATTTTGTCACTCTCGTTTGAATTCGATGTCACATTTACTTGAGCGTTACACGGCCTTCTAATAAGGGTGTCACATTCATTGGATTGTGGATTAATATTCAAACAAATGTGAAATCTCATTAAAATGACCGAGACAAATTTCACATTCTAACGAATATTACGTCACATTCGCTTAATAACAAGGTATGACGGTTCATAAATGTTGCGTTTTGATGATGGAAATCATGTGACTATTTCTCCTGCTGCTTTCGATGGCTCTCTTTTAATACATAGTACAGAAGTCACGAGTAGATGCTCAAACACAAAGTAAGGGAAGCTTGGTCCAACCAGATTGTTAGTCAATATTGGTGGTGTTCTCAGGCAGTGCCACACTAACCAAATTGTCAAGTCTCCTGAACATGTTTTATGTGATATTTTAATATTGTATTCTATTTTATTGCTCAGTATTTTATGTTAAAATTTATTATAGTCCACTAGTGCGCGCTGGTTAATCTAAGTAAGGTCATGTTGTATTTTTAAGCAAATGTAAAGTTTCATATGTTTTATATTACCTAGGTAGCTTTTTGTTATTATGTGGGGTGGATATGGTGTCTGCTGGCAGACAGCGCCCTCTAGACTTGTGACTTGTTGGCTATGTGAACATGAACCCCTGGCCGGAATGTGGCCTACGAGGTTAAGTGCTGTACACCCTGATCTGATACCAGTTCGGAATAAACCAGCATACAGTTAACTTGGCTCTGATTCTACCACGTTCTTTCCCGGGTGGAAAGGACTATACTTTCGTTTACATTTCGAAAATGCACGTGTTTCACTACTTAAACTGTAAGACATCAAGAACCTATAAAGCCCCAATCCGACTGACTCACTCACTGACTCACTCACTCACTCATAGAAATGTTTGGGGTGAAGGAGTGGTCGTAGAGACTTGCGGTTTTTTCCATTCGATTCCAAATTTGATGGGAAAATTGGGAAAAATCCCAAAAGTTCAAAATTCCTCACCGTTTCCGAGAAAACCTACTTTATCTACAAAAAAGGGGAACAAATTTCTCACCGTTTCCGAGCAAACCTACTCAATCTTCAAAAAAGGGGACCGACCGACTAAAAATTTTTATTCGCCCCATCGGTAGGTCTGGTCGAGACATTTCCGAATCTGTGCCGCAATCCGGTCTCCGTCACTGGCAACATCCTCAAAAAACGATTAAATAGGCCTAAATTCAACAAAATCCACTCAATCTTCAAAAAAGGGAATCGTCCGACTAAAAATTTTTATTCGCCCCATCGGTAGGTCTGGTCGAGACATTTCCGAAACTGTGCCGCAATCGGGTCCTCGTCACCGGCAACATCCTCAAAAACGATTAAATGGGCCTAAATTTAACAAAATCCACTCTCTCTTCAAAAAAGGGGACCGACCGACTAAAAATTTTTATTCGCCCTATCGGTAGGTCTGGTCGAGACATTTCCGAAACTGTGCCGCAATCGGGTTCTTGTCACCGGCAACATCCTCAAAAACGATAAAATAGGCCTAAATTTAACAAAATCCACTCAATCTTCAAAAAAGGGAACCGTCCGACTAAAAATTTTTATTCGCCCCATCGGTAGGTCTGGTCGGAACATTTCCGAAACTGTGCCGCAATCGGGTTCCTGTCACCGGCAACATCCTTAAAAAACGATAAAATAGGCCTGCCTTTTCGGTAGGTCTGGTCGAGACATTTCCGAAACTGTGCCGCAATCGGGTCCCCGTCACCGGCAACGTCCTCAAAATCATTTCCGAAACTGTGCCGCAATCGGGTTCCCGTCACCGGCAACATCCTCAAAACGATGAAATAGGCCTAAATTGAACAAAATACAACCGTTTCCGAGCAGTAAAAGCCATGTAATATATTGCCGGAGAAATCAGAAATGAAAGACGCAAAAGAGGCCCATTAGTTTGGCCTTCGGTCACGTTGACCATAATGAACACAGATCTTATTCTTGTCAAAGCAGTCTTCAATATTTTCCGGACCTTGAATGCCGTTGACTGCCACAGTAGCCAATACAGTACAAGCTATCTATTTGGGCAGTAATAGTACCTTAAAAATTAATGGTCAAAAGCAGTTAAATAGACCCTTCCAAAAAGCAGGACAGTTACTTCATTAGAAAATTTCCCTTTGGTCACCACGGACTTACTAAAAATACTTCGGTACGCGCCCCACACATGCGGGGGTCTGGGGGCGGAGCCCCCAGCGAGCAGCGCGAGTTTGTTGTCTATTTGTGCATGGATTAAAGTTAATCGACTGATCACAAGTACATTTTAAATGTAAAGTAATAGTACTTGGACTGCAGATAGGTCAATGCAGTCCAGCTGCATTCCAACTGCAGTTAAACTGCTCAAACTACTGTTAAACTGTAGTTAACTACAGTTCAACTGCAGTTTAGCCTATGTACTGGGGAAGTGGTAGTTTTTTCGGACATTTGCAGTTTTTCTGCAGTTTTGAATCTAGTTGACATCGTTCTTTAAAATACAGCTCCAAAACGTATTTAAACTACAACCACCATTACAATCATAAATGTACTGAACACTGCAAAGCTCCATAACAGGAAAAGTAGCGAAATACATCGGCAACTTTGGCCCATCCCGTTCATCAGGGAATGTGCAAATTTCGCCTATGTTTATCCCTGACGGGATTTGAACCTGAGTCTGGGGTCAAAATAAATGTTATTTTCGTCATCAGCGCCCTCTAACACATCAGAAACAATGGAAATACTCGAGTAAAAAGAATGTTCAAAATATACCCCACTGGGATTTGAACCCGGGTAAAAACTTCTCCGATTCGCTTGAAACTAGCACCATTGGTTTTTTCTCGTCGCCCCGATTCCAAAAAATACCCCTACATGCCCTCCTAGCTAGACCAGCTCTTATTTTGCGAAAGTGAGAGTTCCGCTGGGTTCCCCGACTCAAAATGACCGAAATGGTGAGAAAACTCTTAATTTGAAAGCCCAAGGTCGTCAGACTTACCAAAGCCGTGCCCCAAAACCTTATATAAAGGCAAAAAGCCAAATTTTTTTTCCGACTTTTACCAAACTAAGTTTGACTCTAGAGCGATTCTCACGTTTCGGGGTAGTTTTGGCGTCTCTGATTTGCCGAAAGTGAAAAATATCCAATTAAGTTTTTCTGATTATTGGGGTCCTGGATGATACTAGAGTTATGGCAATGGTATTTATAGTAAAGACCTTGTACTACCTTCCTAAAAACATGAGCCATAAGGTATTCCCACACGTTTTAGTGGGTGTTTTGATCACGGAAATTACGTTATCACGGAAGTTACAAAGTGTGAAAATCGGCTTTAACGGCTGACTCGGGCTTGCTGTGGCTTAAATGTCGTTCCAGGGTCAAATGATACTCTAAGCCCGACATTTCAGCGGAAATTTTTTTCACCTGGTACTGCTGCAACATTGGGTAAAGGGTGCCACGGAAGTTACAGGTAATTGTTGATACACGCCATTTTATAATGCTCTAGCCCGCTTTGAGACCGTGTACAGCATCTTAGATTTCCGTGACCCATGCAATTATATCCCAGGGACTCCACTTTGATGGCTTGTGTCATGGAAAGTTTAAAGTTTGGCTTGGGGAGAAGTCCAGAGCTGCCTTTTCGAAATTAGTGTAGTGAAATTGAATACACGGAGGACATTTTTCGTTGCAGCATAAGTACCAGGTGGCTCAGAAACCCCGCGACAAAAAGATTGCAGGCTACACGCCTGCAGCCGTGCATGCGGGCTTGCCTACGCTCCGGTCTGCGGGCGCCGGGAAGCTCTAGGGTGGCCACTCGTCCATGACGCACTGTCAACCGCGGACCGCGGCGGTGACCTTCGCGCCAGGGCGCTGTCCTTCGCGGCGCTGTCCTTCGCGGCGCTGTCCTTCGCGGCACGGTGCAGTCCGCGGCGCTGTCCGCGGCGGACAGCCCCACGGCGACGGCGCTGCGAAGGACAGCGCCGCGGTGGAGTGCGTAATGGACGAGTGGCCACACTGGAGCGTCCCGGCGCCCGCAGACCGGAGCGTAGGCAAGCCCGCAAGCACGGCTGCAGGCGTGTAGCCTGCAATCAATTTGTCG